GCAAGATATATCTCATTGACTAAATGAAATAGAATACCACGATTATATGAAGTTTTCATTTTTTAGATAATCAGGTCATGTTCACTTTGAAACTGCATTACTTTAATTCATTGCTGGAAACAGTTTTATTTTGGAAGATCTTTCCTTGTACATGTATATAAATGTTAAACATTTAACTAAGTAGCTTTAAATTGAACAGTCTGGTGTTCTAGAGACTCGCTATGTAGTCTTACCTTTGCCATGATATCTCCATCAGTAGTTAACCTCCTCATAAACTGTTCAAGCTCATCCTGAAAGGTAACAAGTAAAATCAAGATCTTATGTACCATTACAAAATATAAATGATCTGCAAAAATGTTTGCTTCCATCTGTTTGTAACAATATGGCACATTTCCAAACATTTTATTACAAAATTGTGTAACAACCAAGAGATCTGTATGAGGTCAAACCTGTCTATAACCATCTGAGGGAGAAACAGTCCACAGACAATTGGTTTTTAGACATATGTAAGTTTTATATCTAGAGAATGAGATAACCAGTAGTTACAATGTATGGACAGATAATCTTTGTACCAGTTGATTGTAGACCATACACCACCTCACTCGACTAAAACATTCTTTATAATCACAATATAAAAATCAAATAATTCTTGATTTTTAGCATAAAAAAAATCCTGCCATTTAACTTTTTGAGATGTAGTGGTTGTTATGACTACCTTGTAGGGATGGTCGTCATCCTGCCAGAAGTTGATGACGACTTTAACACACTGTAACAGGTAAAGTCTCTCCGTGTAGTAATAGTCACGGATCTTGTAAACCAGGGCCTGGGTGTGACGCTCATTGCTGAGGATTTGCTGGGGACACCAGAAATCAACATGATTAAAACATTGTACAAGATGCTTTTTGTTCATATAAAATGACTGTTTCATCTGCTTTTAAATGTAACCCCAGAGGTACAGCCTGGCAGGCCTGTACATTTTAATGTAGGCCTGACAACGCTTTGGTTTGCCTTAGTGCTTTGGTGAGAAAATGACTACTATGGCTACATTCGCGTATCCCGGTTGAAACGGTACGTGTGACGCAGAAATTTTCCAAGATAAATGAACGCACTTGGACCGTTCTATAAGCAGAGCTGAAAATGCACAGTTTCGCAGAATAAAAAACAATGTATCAAGAATAGTATGCCCTTCTCTCACGCGTCCACTGAATTACCTAACGTATCTTAAAAACTACATGTGGATTGACATTGTTTTAGTAAGAAACAACGCAAACTGGCAATAGCCAGTATTTTAGTTTCGGCCAGGTACGTCTGGACCCCTCAATCTACACGTGCCAAATTTTCCTGAGGTCAGCCTCGGTCCAGATCTGTACCTGTCGTTTTCTTAACAGGTTCAACCGGGTACGTGAATGTACCCTATGTCTGCCTTTATTTCATAAACAAACAAATCAAATCCAACTGGTCAGATAATCTAAAAAATCCTAAATAAAAGTGGTTCTGGTATTACTCCACACCTGGTATTACTCTACACCTGAAAACTATTAACTCACTCTTTTATCTTTTTAGAGTTTGATTTTGATAACATCACATTGATTAATAGAATTATAACACAAATATTTAGGAAAGCACTTTTATCATCAATATAAGGATGAGAGGTCTAAGACCTTTGTTTTAACATGTGGACAAGGAAAAAACATATTGTGTGAAGCTGAGGTCATAAATGCCTCCCCATATTTATATTTGGAACAGCTCTCAGTATACTGTAAACATGAAGAAATACCTGTGGTTTTTTATGAGCCCCTTTCTAATAACAACGTCAGAATTCTGATTAGAAAAATTGACATCGATAGTTTACCTGTAGATTTTTCTGTGATCCTCTATAGTCATTTGATAGAAAAGAGCTGAAAAGTTCCCAGCTCTGTAATTCTTCAAGTCCCTAAAATAAGGAGAATAAATATGAACCAGTGGTTTCACTTTACTTATTCTAAACAATGACACAAAAAGTGTCAATTTTGAAGTTTCGTTGAAAAAGTGTTTTGTTCTATGGATGTAACCAAGCTATTCCACATTCTCAGTAACAAAAGGTTTACTGTTTGTGAAATTGGAGTAAAATTGAACAAGAGGCCCAAGGGCCTTAGCGGTCACCTGAGTTATATCATAGATACTGGTAGCTTTATTTTATTGTTTAGATGTGATGTGGAAATCAGCATGTAAACTAAGTGAAATACAATACTTGTCATGTCATCAATGGATAAGAATTTGAAAATATTGGTAAATGTTTCCTTTGGGGCCCCGCTCTAGCCCCTGGGGATGGGGCAGGAATCCTAATTTTACAAAGTAAAACTCTCATTTACCCAAGATGATTCTGACTAAGTTTGAGCAATTTTCTGCTGAAAAT